TACACAGCTAAAAATGCATGCTTTAATAAAGGTATTTCTCTATCAATTTATAGCATTTTAATGTATTTCTATTACTAAACATGATATATTCAAAATGAGTGCTACGTATCTCATTTTCAGTCACATGCCTTTCCAGCAATATTTGAAAGGAACATTTAGTCCTTTTTAGGATGCAAATTTAAAACAATGCATTTAAAGTATGATATTTCAAAAGTTATTTTTCATCATAGATCCCCATTTTACTCTATATAACCTGCAAATCAGTCTATTTAAAAACATATTGCAGAATCAAAAAGACAGGTTTAATTACCAAACTGTGTCATTCATTCCCTATAGAAACATGGCAATGAGTGGTCACAAAAGAGGTAGTGGATTCCACTGTAAAACCAGAAATCTGTGCCAGAGGTCATATATAGTATTGCATTTAAAGCTGGTTTTGTGCACACCTATTTTACCCACAGATGTTGTAATAAACAATTTTGATGCAATTTCCTGTGACAAGCAATGTTTTTATTTAACCTGCTAAGGAATTGTTACCTATATTTTTATGAGAGATATTTTCAATGGAAGTAGGTGTTATAAAAAGCACTTTAGAGTTTCTGACTTCTTTTCTTGCAGTAAATTAAAACTGTATTGAAATCCCTTTTAGTGTTAAAAAACTTCTAGTGACAGAATATCTTTATTGGCAATGGGAACTGCAGTTTACATACCAAACAACAGCAAGATGATTTAATGATAAAAAAATGTGACTTTTCTCTAATCCTGAAGCAAACTGGGAAAAAGTTAAATGGAATTGTATGTGAACAACTTAAAGAACAATATGTATCTGCGAAGAAATATAGATATACCTAAATAAATCAGAGAAAACCTTTAATCCTGGTGGGTTTAGTAAGCCATGAAAAGGCAAATGAGTAACAAAATCAATAGTAAATGTTTTTTAATGAAATCTTTTGAATACAATTATTTAAAGCATAGGTATTTTGATAGGAATTCTATATTTTCAATTCAGTAGCTAATACGCTGCACTACGGATGTATTGTCTCCTACAGTCCATAGATTGTAATAACAATAATAATGCCAGTGTTGATGAACTTACTTAGGAGCTGAAAACAGACATTTTTGTCTGTGAGATAACATATGGATTTTCTTAATATCACATGTATTTTGGTATAAGAACATTATTTGATCATCATTCCTTAGTGCTTTGACAACTCTGTATTTGATGTAAGCACAAATTTATATGAAGTTACCTTTTTATTGTGTGTATTGCAGAAACACCACTGGACTGTGAGGTTTCACAATGGTCTTCCTGGGGTCTCTGTAGAGGTATTTGCAGAAAGACAGGGACCAAGATCAGAACTCGTTTTGTACTTCTTCAGCCTGCCAATAATGGAATGCCTTGCCCAAATCTGGATGAAGAAACAGGATGTGAACCAGAGAATTGTGTCTGAAATAAAGAAAATATAATAATTTAGATAATTTAAAAGTAGGATAAGTTTAACTAAATCTCCACTACGTCAGTCAACATTCCTTATAATTTGGGTATGCTGCACTATTTTGCTGAAAAGTATATTAGACTGATTTTGAAAGCTGTTGTTTAATATCAAGATTTTGAGGGGTTAAATTCCTAAGGTTTAGTGTGACAACAGTACTTGACTGTTAACAGACCAAAAACCCCAAATAAATCCTTGCTATAAATATACTGTAAGTTCTTGGAGTACCCTCTAGTGGCAGAAAAGAAGACATTTGGAAAGATTATACTTCACACATAACAAAAACCTTTCAGTCACAAAATATAAACTAATAACGCTCTTAAATACTGTAATTTGTTGATCTACAGCTATTTATATCTAGAAATTAATTTTGTCTCTAAATTATGTTTTTATAATTTATTGGCATTTTTGTTGTCTTTCTAGACTTGTTTAACATGCATTGCTTCCGAAACTACCTACATAAATCAGAATGATCGGATGTTTGCAGTGTGGTTAAGACAATAGTATAACTGAGTAAACTTGTCGTGAGACTTAGGAATATATGAAAATGCCTTTTTCTTTTTTTCTCAAGAGTGAGAAGAATATGTTACAAGGATGCTCAGCCAACAAAATTGCGAGAAAAATCAGAAGTGTGGATACTAGTAGAAAACCTGTGAGCTTAATTAAAAGTGTTATCTGAGATCTAAAACCTGACTGATTGTCACTGTGTGTCCCTTATAAGACAACTATCTCAAAACTAACACTGTTGACCATAACATACATATCATCTTTATATATGCAGTAAATGTGTCCATGTTTCTTTAAATCTTTTCTGCTATTTGTGCCAATGTAATCTTACCAATGTTTTAATACTATTTAAAATTAAGGTATACACAGATATAACAAACACAGTATATCTGAAAATGTTCCTGACTGCAAGTTTTAATGCTCAAATAGCTGTTAGACAATCAATGTAACATATGGCTTATAAAGAGTTGTGATTAACAATGAGGAAAAGAATTTTTGAATAACTGTTCAGTAGAATATGTTTAAGTCAGCCCACAAAACTTTTACAGCACACTACAATTTTACACATATACAGCACAGATATTGAACAGGAGAGTTGATTTGAGAAGGTTCTTTTTTGGAATATGCCAATACTAGAAAATGTGTTATGTACTTCAAGGAGCACACTGTAATTCTCTGCAGGGCTGAAACATATAAAAGGTTCTCTCTATATTTTTTTTCCAGAGCTAAGTCTTGCAATTTGAAACTTTATCAGATTAGACTAAGTTCGTCCTGGAAATGCTGATAAACACACAGTTGTTAGAGCTAAGTATAGCCACTTACGTATCTTGCATTCTTCAGATTCCCACTGTTGCCTGTTTTTCAAAATGGTTTCACTTACTTTTTTTATTACACCTATTTTTTCTCTATTCCTGTTCTATAATGGAAATAGTGTTCTTACACTATCATTTTCATATTTTGGTTTTAGTTAATTTCTCCATCTTTTAATTTTTTTCTTTTTATATTAATTTTTACTCACTCTCTGTTTTTTTTTATTCTGTTAAATTTGTTTACTATATAGTTACATGGTTATCACCATCTCAGAAAACATAAGCATTGCTATGTTTATACTATATACATGACCTGAATCTGGGATCTCAGTCCTGCAAGACATGACTTAATAGTGTAACAGTCCCAGTGGTTACTCAAACTCCTGAAGCCAAAAGTTTTCCAAAGGACAGTGAAAGGGAAGTGGTGAGAAGGGGAGGTGGAGTAAAGAGGGAGTTGCATATGTAAAATATCAGCATACTTCAGGAAAGTCCAGTTAGTGATAAATAACTTTTCTTTTTTAGAGTATGTACATACAGGAACATTCCTTCAAGCAGAAGTTTCCTGTCCAGTCAGTTACCTGGATATGGGTTTTTTTGTAAGCAGTGACTACAAAAGACGCTGATAAATATGGCATTAAGGACGCCCTTGTGGCTGTATAATGTTTGGCCATAAATACAGTTCCAGGTATTGCCTTTGCAAACACTAGGGATGGAGATATTTCTTGGCGAGACTGCGGATACAGTGAGTTCTAGTGAAGCACATTCTAATGATGGAGACATTTCTAATAACACATCTCAATTAAACCGATTGATGAGGCACATGATCCCTGTGTGGATATGGATAGACCTTTGTAGCTTTTACTTTCAGCATAGTCTTGGATTTGTCCTAAAAAATTTGGGACGGTGAAGAAAGTGAGCAGCTTTTCTTTTTCCTTTACATCCAGTGTTATAGATGGCTGGCAGCCAAGACACTGTGGTCCTAAATACATGAGATTTAGGGAAGGAAATAGGTAAATTAATTCCTGGGTTAAACTAATCTCAGAAAACACTTTGGGCGGAAACTTGAAATAACTTTGTAAAGAATTTTATTAGCAAGAATGTTTTGCAGGAAGAATCAGATTTGATGCCTTGGCAGATATTCTTGAAGAATGGAAGTGACGGTTAAAGGTAAGTGTAGTAGCAAAAAAGTCACCACAAACTTGAACTGTGGTCCTGCAAAAATCATAAACAACAAATTGAATTCCTGTAGTGGAATAGGGTACCTCATTACTGAGAACAACATGTCCAGTACCTGAATGATTTAAGGTCAGTTAGCTGTGAACACATGAAAGCTCTTCTTATTGTCTCCTGGTTGCTAGGAATGCCAGCTGAAGCTGCATGTATATATGTACTTTTCATGGGCTGTGGCTTCTCTGCAGACATCTGATGCAGCAGCTTGGTGGTTAATGCTAAGGAAAAAACAAGGCAATTTTGTAGATAAGTCATGGTACAGGAAGGATTGATATGATCTATGAACTGAACTGAACTGAAAAGTTCTCCCTGTACCATACCATAAATGTTGGCTGTGTGAGCCTTAGGTAGGCTAAACAAGAGGGCACACATATTGTTCTACCAGCTTCTTCAAAATGATTGGGATGGATGTCCAGAGCGTGTGTGTGAAACAAATTCACTAACTGTAGTTTAAGGGCCTGTTCCATTTTCCTAAGTAAATTTGTGTTCCCACAACTGAGGAGAAGCTGTATCAGAGGGCTACCTCTATACCATGTAAGTGTACTTCATAAATATGGTATATAAATATCTAAAAATATGTAGAAATATAAATACGTAAGTATAGTTTATAAAGATAGTACTCTAACTGATAATTGACAAAATGGCACAGGGTTTGCTGTTAAAGATAATTTTGGGGAGGGAGAGTCTTGTATTCATCGAAAAATAGTTCTAATACCCTAAGCACACTAAGTTTAGCATGGCCACAGAAACTAATGTGTGTCTGTCTAGAAGGGAAGGGAAAGTGTATGGCAGCCTTTCTGATCACTGATGAGAATGAGCACTGTCCCCAGTAGGACATAAGTGGAGTGTGAACAAAAGATCTGAGAGTATCTGCTGGTATTGAAGGCAAAAAAGTCCATTTCATGATATTCCAAGTCCCAGTTAATTAAGTACATTGGGAATATCTGTTCTGTCACGAACAATCCAACATAATAAAGTAACTCAGACTACCCATGACAATATTTAATGTGCTCAGAAAATAAATCTAACACTTGATACAGCAACTCTGAAGCGAATCCTGTTTAATGGGAATGTTACATGCAGAAGTTGTGCCTGTCATAATTTGCAAATACTGTGGATGCTGAGACGAAAAAGCTTTCAATATGCTGCATGACAACCTGATCACTTGGAGGCTGAATTCTGTTTGTTTGCAGTCCAGCAGCCCTACCATGTCAACATTTGCTAGCAAAAGTACATAACTAATGTGTGTGTCCCAACCGGTCTGGGCAGAGTGAAGGAAAAAGTGGTGACCCCCAGTACATCTTGTGTTCTGCCATTGGAGCACAGTATTTTGGAAACCTCAAGTAGTCAATGAAGAGCTAAAAGGGTGTTTGCTTAAGTAGCTCACAACCTGCAGACAAACTTCTTGCAGTATAACATGGAATGAGAATTTGTGCAGGTGCATGTCAGTCAAGATCTCCTGTGATGCAATGGGGAGAGTCCAATTATATGATAAAATTCTGTATAATCTAAAATTGTTTCTGATGGATAAATGCTTAAGGAGTAAGCGAGTCCTAATATCGCCCTTGAGACTCCTAAATATTCAATGGCCATAAGATGCAATTTATGTCCCCTTGTTCTTAACCATAAGGAATCAAAGAATGAGAAGAAATGCTCAAGGAATCAGTTCTCCTTGTCTCATAATCTCTTTATCAGCACAGAAATGCTGTATTTTGCTGGAGGTGAAATAATACTTGTGCTAGAACTTCTATGAAGATACTTCATGCTGTGAAGGGGACTGAACCAATGATGGTTGTAAGCCTGTGCTTACAGAATTGGATAGGAAGCCAGAGTTTTATTTACAGGTGTAACCAAATAACTGTAAATGCAAATGGGGCATTTTATGAGGCAATTGAAAGAATAATTCAGAGGAGGTGTTAGATAATATGAGAAAAGGACTACTCATGGTCCTGTTGTGTGTGCATTGTGTTGAGGATGCAACTTCTGCAGCTGAGCATTTGACAGCTATATAAAAACAAAACAATAAATCCAAATTCTACCTTTTCAAGCAAAATAAATGCTGATAAAATTCCAGTCAGGAAATGGTGTTTTCCCTGTCTACTTGCATATTTAGCCTGTGTGTGTGCAGTAGAGGTAGCTTATACCCCATAATCTGAAGTCAGGAAACAGAATCCTGAAATAAACTGAGAGGTTCTTGAAGATACGTTCAAGGACATTGCTGAACAATTTCATTGTCAAATGCCAGGTGCTGCTGAGGGACATGCCAGGGATGGAAAGAGTCAGTGCCTTCAACAGGAGTGTAGTGAGCTTCTGAAGGGGTAAAATAAGCTCAAAGATGAATTCTTCCTATGGGCAATGATCGCATAGGTGGATCCTTTCTTGCTGGTAAATGATCACATATCATCTTACACTGAAACCAACCTTTCAGATGCAGTGATCTCAGTTTATAGGACAAGGAACACTTGAATGGAAAATTAGTTCATCATCTGACGTATAGAATGGTCTATATTAGCACAAAGAGTAAAATTAAAAGTCTCAATCATTGATTTACACTATAACTTTCTTTGGAGAATTTATTTAGCAGAATCTACAAAAAAGACATTCTTACGTAAAAAAGTCTTATTCGGAGTGTTAATTTTGTAATTTTCTTCCTGCTATATCCTATTCATTAGTGTTTCAGATTCTTTTATTGCTTGAGTTTGTTGACTTTTTTCTTCATATTTCTTTCAGCCCTTTTATGTATTCCCTGTTGGTTTTGAGCAGATGTATACATATGTTCACTGATAGGCAGCTAATTACAAGACTTCTTAATAGAAGAGGAGTGAAGCTCTGGAATAGTCACCCAGAATAAATTGGAAAGATAAATTAACAACTTCATTTTAGTTGAAAATTGAGCACTTTATGGGAAAAGATAACCAATGTGATTACAGTAATCTAAGGAACTGATCTCAAGTACCTGAGAGATCCTTTCCAATTTCATGTTCTTCTACATGCATAATACAAAATTTTAATCTAGATGTTGGGAAAGAAGAAAGATTTTACAAGTTATCTTTTCATGTTATCTCATTCTGCAGAACATACCGTAGCTATTTATAAATGTGTAACCACCAGCTGCCTTTTCTCACAGTTTTTTTTCTTTCAAAAATACACCGATAAGCAGCAAACAGAGAACAAGCACAGGACTACATTTGTA